TTTCTCATGGCCTCTCTGGACTCCCCCCCCGAAATCTCCTAAGACAGTGGTTCTCAACCTTCCTAATGCTGTAACCCTTTAATGCAGTTCCTCATGTTGTGGTGACCCCCAACCAGAAAATTATTTCATTGCTACTTCATAACTGTAATTTTGCTATTTTGAATTGTAATGTAAATATCTGATATGCTGGATATCTGACATGCAATTGCCTAAGAGTTGAGAACCACTGTCCTAAGAGGATTTCCCTGAATAAAGATGATCTGTTATCAAGAAGAGGTAACTTTGCACCTGCTTCTGACAGACCCCAGTCTCCACTTCTGGCCTTCCACAGCCTGCTGTGGTTCGGTTAAGTATTGCTAAAGTGCCTACATGTGGCACTTGGAGTCACCAGCTGTGGTACTACTGCAGTGATGACTTAAGAGGTAGGGTTATTAGGAGTTGTTAGGTTATTGGGGGTGGAGGGTCATGAAGGGGATTGAGGAGTCATCTCCCTTGCCCTTCCTTTTGCTTCCCACCTTCCATAAAGTAAACAGGCCCCTTTCCCCGTATACTCCCACCATGACATGGACCTCTGTGATCATGAGCCAAAATTAATGGCTCCCATTTGGTTATAGAGTGATTTCTCCTCAAGTGAAACACTCCATCCTAAAGGGAAGAGGCAGGCTCATGAGACTCAGTGACCTACTGAAGCTTACATAGGAGGCTGGAGAACTCACAAAAGCCACAAGAGTCCCAAGGTCCTTCTACAAGGCTTTAAAAACAAACGATTTCTGGGGGAGAGGAGACTCTTTTTGGTGGTGCTGCCTGCAAGTTGGGCTGGGAGCTCCTGGGATGCAGCTTTTGTGAATCTTTACCTATTCTGGGTGGGACTTCCGGTGCCACTGCTAGCTTTTGAGTCACCCATGCTCTGGTGAGTAGCTTGTAACCGAGTTCTTTTAAGTAACCTGCCCCCACCAAACCCACTGGTTCACTGAGCTACAATTGGGTACATTTGTATCTTTGATCTGCCTTTCGTGAAGTGACTAGACATTTCTTTATGTCTCCTCAGAAAAAGCAACAGAACACCTTTGAAGCCAATTTTCTCAGGTGCCTGCCACTGTGCCACAAGATAGCTAACACAGGAACACCCTCAGACATAAAGCCTTAGAAGGAAAGAGGTCTGGGTTTGAACTTTTGCCCCTCATTTGCCTGCTTGGTGTCTCTCCTTTGTGGCATTTGGACCTACCCAGTATTCCTATCCAGTGAGGTTCCAGTTGATCAACAGATGTGGCATGATTCATGGCTGATCTCAATTAGGATCCAGACAAAAGCTGCCTCAACAGGGCACACTGGCTTCACATAAGCTAGGGGGAAAAATAATCAACCAACTCCCAACAGATTTTCCAAGTGTAAAATAATAGATCATATTATAAAAGTTACTTGATAAAAAACCTTTAACGCCAGGCTTTCCTAGTTTGTGGGAGGAACCTGCTAGTGCCTGCGTTCTAGCCAAGTTTTCTTTCACTCCATTTTAGAGCAAAGCTTCTCCGACATAAACTGTCATACAGAAAACTTTGCAGATGATTTCATGAGCAGACAAGGTGATTAGATGCAAGGCAGAGCATTGCCCTGTTTTTCTGCGGGCTTTCAGGCCCCCTCCCTTTCTCAGACAACCTCTCTTCCCACACAGCAATAACAGTTTCTATGCTTGCTCACATTAAAAACAGTTAATCACAGAGGTTGCCAGCGAGGTGGGTGGGAGGATTGTGAGCCTCAGTGGATGGCTGGGTTGGCTGGGTGTTCCTGGATCATCCAGCTGCAGTGGGCCCAGGACTGACTGAGGAGCAGGAGTCCCTGGCTGCCTCACATGTGCTGCCCGGTGGAAGCTCTCTGACCCCAGGTCACAGAGTCATCTAACCTGAATGTGTTTCTTCATCTGGAGCTGCCCCAGCCCTTATGTACCGCAGAGCTCAACATGCTCATGAGGTGGGGGAGGCATTGAATTCTACAGATGGTGGCTGAGAACTTAGCCTTTTTTTTTTTTTTTTCAGTCCTGGGTGGTTGAGGTCCAGGATTCTTGAGCTTAATGAAGAAGAGCTGTGGCTCCACTCCTGGCCTTCACCTCTTTTGATATTTGTTCCATCCTATCCTGTCTCTTCCAGATTTTTCCTGAGTTACCCCTGCCCCAGCTTGCTGTGCCATTTGAATCTTACAGATGCTTTAAATGCATAACCCCACTCTAGTGCACGCCCCCCCAACCCGTATTTCTTCCCTGTCTGTCAGCTGCCACTTTGCATTTCTGTCAGCTGCCTCTTGACTCTCTGCCCTTCCCACGTTTGTTAGTATCCATTATCTGCAGTGATTTAGGACATCAGATAACCAACCTTGTTAAAATTCTGTCTGGAATGTGAGTCACAGCCACGAATGTGGACCTGGGCTCATGTGCTGGGTGATAACAATATATTTGACTTTGTCAAAGCCCCTTTGGCCTTTTCCTGTATTCTGAGTCATATTCTGAAAGGTGAAATTCCCACATGAAGTGGCATCTGACCACAGTGGGTAGAATGTGAAAAAATGGAAGCAGAGGTGGGTCACTGTGAGTGCCCTGCACTGGGGTGAGTATGACAGGTGGGTAACCACAGCCCCGAGGGACAACTGTGGCTTCCTTGTGAATCACTCTAGGCCTAGATGATTTGTTCTTGCATCTCTGGGGACAAAGGAACACCTCAGTCCTGGATACTGCACTGGGGATGGATCCGGAGAACCAGCATGACGACTTACAAAGAAGCAAATGCTGTGGGGAGGGATCACAGTTCAGTTAGTGCAGGAAACTGGAAGGGGTCACTGGGCGAGCCCAACACTGGGGACTCTAAAGGTTAATCTTCCAATCATCTGAGGCTCACATATGTGAATAAAAGACCTAATGATATGAAAGGCCACCACAGTTTTATATATAGTTAAAAGCCAGAAATAAGGGGGAATGCCATGGTTAAGGTCATCTCCTCCTCTTCAGAGGACCTGAGTTTGGCTCTCAGAGCCCACATTGGGTGGCTCACAATAGCCTGTAACTCTGGCTTCAGAAGATCAGACACTCTCTTCTGGCCTCTGCAGGTACTGCATTCATGTACACCACTGCCCATCCAGGCATAGAATAAAAAAAAAAAAAAAAAACTTCTTTAAAACAATAAAAAAAAGGAGTTAGTCAAAGTACACATTTGTTTGAACTAGGATGTTACACAAAATGTACAATATTCACAAAAATTTAATGAAATATGCAAGTGAAAAATTATTAGTATAAGGTGGGATGAAGTTTATACAAATTATCTGCACAGATAAAGGACTGGGGTGGCATGGTCAGTGACTCTAACTACAGGCTCAGATTCGGCAGTCAATACAAATGGCTTAGACTAGGTTGACGTAATAGGGAGTGGTGAGGACTGCAGCGAATGTGGAAAACATGCCTTATACAAAGGGGGCCCCTATCCAGTGACAGTTAGGACGCACTGCTGCTTCATCAAAAAGTCTTATGGGAAATGATAAATCATAATACTTATGTAAAATGTCACAACTATAAAATCTTGGCAAAAAATAAGTCATGTATTGGCCAAATACAGATGTTGATGGCTTGGCCTTTGCTGCCTGGCATCTTTAAAATGGACTAAAATGCTGACACTGGCTGTCTCTAGGATTGTTCTTATAGGAAAAAAATTTTTATCATAGATTTGTTAATTTTTAGTTTATTATTTTATCCATTCATTTGTTTTGTTTGTTCACTCATTTGTTTGTTCCTCCCTTCTGGTATGAAGTAAATGTGTGCTTGAATGTGCAGGTGTTTTTGAATAGAGGCCAGAGGATGACTTCAGATGTCCTGCTCAGTCACTTTCTACATTATGCTGCTTAGATAGTGTCTGTCACTGAACCTATACATGTGCTGGGGCTGGAGGGATGGCTAAGTGGGTAAGAAAGCTTTGTGTGTATGCATGAGTTCAGATCATTGCCTTCCACATACAAATTTGCATGTGGCTGGGCACGCTTGTAAACCCAGTGCTGTGCATAGTGGAGACAGGAGGATTGCTGGGACTTGCTGACTGTCAGCCTACCCTGAGGAATACACAGATAATGAAATACCACTGGAGAGAAAGATGGAGTTGGTGCTTAAACTGTAATTGTCATGTGAATGAAGGGACAAGGGAGTGAGTGTAGCAGGCTTTCTTTGGGCCACCAGTTCATAAAAATGACATAGAGAGTTGTTATTAATTATGAAAGCTCAGCCTATGGCTTAGACTTGTCCCACTAGTTCTTATAACTTAAATTAAACTTTTGTATTAATCTACTTTTTGCCTCATGGCTCTCTTCCATCTTGTACCTCCTGTTTTCTCTCTGTGTTCTCTGGCATCTCTTTCACACCTGGATTTATCTGTTTTCTTCTCTCTCTTTCTTCCTGGAAGTCCTGCCCAACTTCTTTCTGTCTAGCTATTGGTCGTTAAGCTCGTTGTTAAACCAATCAGAAGGCACCCTGGCAAAGACACATCTTCACAGTGTACAAAAAAGATTGTTCCATAAATTTCTCCCTTTTTGTCTAAATAAAAAAGGTCTTAACTCTAACACAGTAAAACTATACACAATAAGAACAATTATCAAGTGTTGTCTAAATAAAAAGGAGGGTTTTAACTTAAACACAGTGAAATTATGTACAATTATCAGATAAGAATTTCATTCACAATGTCCAGTCCATTTGCATTTGGAAAATTCAGAAAAGATACTCTATTATCTATCCTATCTTGGTGAGTCTAAAGTTTTGTACCTAATTCACTTTCTATCCTAACTTGTATTACCAACCCAGAACTACCTTTTTAAACCTGAAAACATTTTCTTACATAAACAGTTTAAGCATTTATGTCTCTCAACCCATGCATTTCACTCCTTTTCTGTGAGCTTCTTTTTTTGAAGTTGATAACAAGGAAAATTATAATTGTCTAGTTTTCAATTCCATCAGAGACCCAAGAAAGATATAATATTACCTGAGTAAACAGAAGTGCAAGGTAAACAACTTCCAAAATGTAGAAATGACAGAAACAGCTGGCTGCCTGGACAGTCACCAAGGTTCCTTTGCAATATTGGGGCATCCATCTTCAGTCTCCAGGCCTAGAATATCTGACAGACTCTTCTGTGAAGCAGGAATTTTTAAGGAGGGTCCTACCTTGTCTTGGCAAAGTTTGGCAGTTGTCTTTTGTGTCCAATTTGGACAGTATACCATCAGCAGTTGAGGCAATGACAGTTTCTTGCTCAAATGTCTAGCTTTTGCCACAATGAAAGCAAACTCCATATGGAGGTTCTTTGATGCCCACATCCTTTTTTGAAGTAAATTGGTGGTGCCAGGAGCAGACATGCCTCATTGTCATGAAAAGCTTTATGTTATTAAAACATTAAAATGCCATATTGTATAGATCTCTGGAGGTTTTGAAGACCACCTATTAAAAATGTCTCTGAAAACATAGTAATATGAATATAAGTTCAATTGTTATAGATGACTAATTACTATCCTGTATTTCTTAATCCTAAATATATTTTAGAACTTTAGATTGCATTTTTTAAATGAGCTGCACAGGTACAATACCTTAAATAAGAAAGATAAACATGATACAGTATAATAAAAATAACCTTAAATTTGTATCAATATTTGTCATACCAAAGTAAAATATTTAATTTACCCTTTTATCTTATCATTTTTACATCCCTCTTTTTTTCAGAATGAGATCCCTGAGTCTAATTTCCTTTGTTTAGTTTCCTCCCTGACCATGACCAATAACGATTTGTAACCAGCCCTCCTAAATGATGACAAACATCCATAACCCACCAAGTAACGAAAAACTACACAGCCCACCTCTTGGGAATGTGGGTGTTGTGTTCTCTAGATTGCTTCCTGTTGTCTTTGTGTAATAGCATCTTTGGGGGAACCCTGAGAAAACTAAGATAATTGTCAAGTCCTGGTAAAAACAGCCATAACTTTTGTTGTTCAGTTACAGAACTGAATGGAAAATTTGTGTCTGTGCAAGGCTCATTTGTAGTCCTGACTGGAATAGTCTGTGAGGCTGGGTTATCTCAGCCAGCAGCTTTGAAGATGTTCTGGATGCAGAATTTTGAGGAAACTGCAACAGAGGCATTCTGAGAGGCTGGATCACCTGGGATATGGTCATTTTTTTTTATTGGTATATGGTCATTTTTTTTTGGAAAACAAACTTTTAAAGGGAACAAACATATCTACATTAATCCAGTATGAGATATACATTGTGCACAAGTCAGTTAAAGATGATTTTATTTGTTATTTTATGTTTGAGCAGGTAAAATATATGCCAACTGTCTTGTAGTTTTTCTAGGTTTATTTCTTTATGCCTGTAGATAGGATTTTCAATTAATCCTGATCTCTATCAACCTTGAATAAATCTACAGCCTTTTGTTTTCTGTGGAAACAAAAGTATAACCTTTTCCCCAAAGCAATACATTTTCTGACTTCCATTTTAAAGTATCTAGGCTGGTTTAATTCAGCAGCCCCTCTTAACAATCCCATGTCTCTCAGCAGCTGTCCATCTCTCTTCAGCAATCAAAAAATTCAAAGTCAACAAGGCACCATACAGGATCCTGACTCCCTGTGTATTTTCCATCTTTACATGGCTTATCCTCTTTTTATAGTATTCTCTCTTTAAAGACGTTATTTTATTATTTATGAACCACTTATTTTTTCTATGACTGTCTGTACCATTTTCTTTTCTTTTTTTAAGTCTATGCACATTTTTCGAACACACTATAACAGTTTAAAGGTTTGTCCCCCCCCCCCATGTGGATTTGTCTTTACTGAGCTTCTGCAGTGTCCTCTGTGTGGGACAAATCTTAAACTGTCACGTAAGTCATCCCAGGCTCAGCTTAGCATACAGTGCTAGCACATGGTGCTGGTGGCTGGCTCTAGCCTGCAGACAGCAGCCGGTAGCCAGTTCTCTATATGCTGAACATTAGCCCACCTGAAAGACTACAGGGCTAGGAGGCCACATCTGGTTCCTTGTCCAGAACTTTGCTTAGCTTTCTCAGGCCATATGTTTGGATCTTCAAGCCCCCACATTGGACTCCATATGTAGATGGATTTTTCTTTGTGCCACCAACTCACAAAAAATGACACAGAGACTTATTAATAATAGAGATAAGCCTATAGCTTAGGCTTGTCTCACTAGCTCTTATAATATAAATTAATGCATTTGTATTAATCTGTGTATTGCCTTGTGGCTTTTTATCTCACTCCCATCTTGTACCTCATGTTTCCTCTCTGTGTTCTCTGGCATCTCTCTCATGCACCTTGATTCATCTCTATTCTCTCTGTTTAGAAGTTCTACCTCTTCCTGCCTAGCTATTGGCCATTCAGCTCTTTATTAAACCAATCGGAAGGCACCTTGCCAAAGACACATCTTCACAGTATATAAAAAGATTATTTCACAACATTTTGCCCCTTCTGTCTAAATAAAAAAGAAAGGTTTTAACCCTAACACAGTAAAACTATATACAATAAGAAGTCCCTGCAGAATTCTGGACAGCTGTGGGAGTCACCTGTGTATCTTCACAGTAACCTAGCTCTCTGGCCTTCACTAGCTGTCACACAGTGCTAAGTGAAGACAGATAATTATAACTGTCACTCTGCTATGCCACATGTTCCCTGAGTGCCAATACTCTGCTGAACACTTTGTATGCAGGTTGCCTCTCTGAGCCTCATTCCTCATAAAACCAGGATAATCATGGTGTTTGTCTCAGAGTGTCCTTGTGCAGACACCAAGCCTCTGGAGGACAGAGTGGAGACAGTCCAAGCCTACAACAGAATTCCCTTGCAGAATGGCCAGCTGAACCATTGCAGATTGAAGCTACCTAATTTTCTCTGCTCTGCAGACTTGAGGCAGGCCCGTGGGTGTGGAGCTAGAAAGGCAGCTGATGACTTATTCAATATGTGTCATTCTGTCTCCCTTTTCCAGCACTTATGTAAAGCACACAATTTTTCGTTTTTGTCAGTTCCTTATACAAAAGTGGCTGTTCAACTCAGTGGCTGCTTTGTAAACACAGACGAAATCTAATTCATAGACTATCTTTGGAATGTTGATTAGGTGTATCTGGAGAACAATCCAGGCCCACCTGCAGCAGCTGTGAGAGCCTGCCTCACACTGACAGTGTTAGCTTGTTTATGTTGCAGAACTGGTTGAGTAAGGGTTCTCATGTCAATGACCTTGTCACAACACAAATCCACTCTCCTGCCAAAAATGCACTCACACTCGTGCAGAAATTGTACATACTGTATCTTTACTTTGCTTTAGTTATCTGGAATGTTCTTTAGAGGCTTGGCTTGTTCAAGCCTTGGTTCCCAACCTCTAATGCTGTTTGCAGATTGTAGAAACTAGGAGGTGGAGTCTATTGAGAGAAAGTTGAGTCATTAGGAGTGTGCCCTTGGGAGAGGAGCCTGGCCTGTCTGACTCCCTCCTTCCAAACTCTCTCTCATTCTCTGTCTCTCTATTTCTCTGCCCCCTTCTTTCTTTCTCTCATATCCTGCCTGTCAAGTGGTGACCATTTTACCCATCTACACTCCCCTCCCCAAAGTGACAGGCCATCCATAGTCTGAAACATAAGCAAAGGTCAACATTTTCCTCTTTTTAAACTTTCCTGTCTCAGGTGTTTTGTTACCAGGACTGGAAGGGAGTTGATTAACATGTATCATGTTTATAGTTTTCTGTTAAATGATCTGTGTGATTTATCATTTTAGAATAGAGTTCAATGCTAAACTCTAGTTTAGGATTTCTATGTTTTAATTTTTTAATGTATACATTTATAAGGAACATTATGACATTATAATACCTGTATACAATGTGTGTTGATCAAATCAAAGTAGTTATCTTTCCTATCTCTTAATCATTTTTTCATGTTTAGAGGTTTTAAACTCTTGTAGTTGGTCCATTGTTTTTTGGCTGCAAATGATGGGACATCATTGCTGTTATGGGTGTATAATATTTCATGGAGTAACTATACCGCAGTATCTTCGTCTGCCCACCAGCTGATGGATACGTAGGCTGATCTCACATCTTGGCTTTTGCACTCATTGCTGTGATATTCAGGTACAAATGGGTGTCTCTTTGGGACTCTGATGTCATTTCCTGTGGATATATATCCAAACTGACACAGCTGGATCATGTAGTAATCCCATGTCTACCTTTATAGGGATTCTTTGGGTTATTCTTCACAATGGTGACACTAATTGACATCCCCACCATTTATAAGACTTCCCTACCCTCACTTCACATTCTCACTTGCTTTCTGCAAGGTGAGAAATGTCCCAAGGTTTAATTGCAGTTCTCAGGAAAACATTTTTCATATCATTATTGATCGTTTGTATTTGTGCTGGTTGATTTTTGTGGACTTGACACGAACCTAGACATACCTAAGAGGATGGAATCTTAACTGAGAAAATACCTCCATCAGACTGGCCTGCAAACAAGTGTGTAGGTCATTTTCTTGATTAATGATTGGGGTGGGAGGGCCCAGCCCGCTGTGGGACACTGTGGCCATTGCCACCCCAGGCAGGTGTTCCTGGGTGATATGAGTAACATGGCTGAACAAGCCAAGAGGAGCAAGAGAGTGAGCAGCATTACTCTCTGGTTTCTGCTTCATTTACGGCCTTGAGTTCCTGCCCTGACTTACCCCGGTGATGAAGTGTGACCTGAGAGCTGTAAGCTGAAATAAACTCTTTCTCCTCAAATTACTTTTGGTCGTGGGTGCTTTATCACAGTAGCAAAACCTATAACTTTAAAGACATATTTCTTCTTTTGAGCAATCTAGTCAGACTATTTGTCCATTAAAAATGGGGTTTTGTCATTGAGTTTTTTTTCTTTCTTTCTTGTAGAGTGTAGATAGCAGTGTTCTCTCTGTTGATGACTTTCTTTGCTGTAGAGGAGCTTATTAATGGCTTTGTGAGATCTCAATTGTCTCTTTTTTTGCTTGTGTGGAGTGTGCTTTTTAGAGTCTTATCCAGAATACCATTGCCACTCCTAATATCCCAGTTCGTTTCCTGTTTCTGTATAGTCCTTGCAGAGTGTCAGGTCATACGT